AAAAGGCCGAGAACGTAAAAAATTAAAAATCGCTCAAAGGTCGTGTTTTGACGTTTCATAGGATAGTGCACATTTTTGAAAGCATTTTCAAAGGTAATAAATTAAGGGGTGGGGATTTTAAGGGAATGGTGGGGATATATCTCATGTGTTTGATATTAATATTGTTATTATTAGCACTACAATACAAGGCGAAAAAGTCCGATGACATCGTTGTCTAAATTCTTTTTTTTGAGCTGCTCTAGTCTTCTAGTTCCTTATCCAACTTTTTCTTGAATAAACTGACAGTTAATGTAACCACTGTTTCTTCACCAAGAAAGTTTCACGAGTATATCACACGGTTTGAAATGAAATGTATCCTTATCAACTTAGATATTTTTTTTCATTCCCTCAGATTCTGACTCATACTGAATATTTGGAGGGTACATGAGTACCAGCCACTGATGATCTTGAATGCCTCAAACAGGTCCCCTCGTAATCTTCGCTCAGCGAGTGTTGTCAAATTGATAGCCCTTAGATGTTGTTCAAATGGCAAATGTCGAATCTCTGGTGGAATTCGCGTTATTTTACATCGCAATCTTTCCAGTTCCAGTTTGATGTCTTTGACAAAACAGGGACTGTGTGCACGTTCAAGTTTTGGTCGAATGTACATACATCTTGTATAGTTTTTCTATCATAGCAGAAGAATGGTTTTTAACAGCTTTTTCCGTCAAATATATCACATAGTTAACTATTTTAAATTATGTGCCATTATTATATAGGGTGGCCTAACTAAAAGGTCGCACCCCCATTTGGACCAGGTGAGCCTGATAATTTTGGGAAAATCTTTTGATTTCTAGTCACAGATCCAGTTTATTCAAATGTTCTTATCATCTTCTTAGCCACATACCCATCGCTAATATTTTTGTCTGGATGGAACGCATTAAACAACCGGGGCAAGGCTCCCATTTTGGTAATACAGTTTCGTTATTTCTACCCTTTCTTCAGTTGAATAAGTTATTGTTCAATATTTATCTTGCAAAAGACCAAGGCACACATAACCTTCTTACAAAACCCCATTGTAGAGAACAGGCAAGCCGACGTCGAGTCCAGAACTAAATATAAAGAAGCGGCTCGCAATGTCAAAAAGCAGCAGGATATAAAGTTAGGCACAGGGTAATGTCGCAGCGCAAAAGCACTTCTCACGCAGTAGCCTTCCACCACTTACGTGTCAGCATGGAACTATTGTATTCGACTCAAAGGCCAAGGCGGCAGTGCTAGCCAAGATCCTTTCTGCCAACTCCACCATGGACGTCCCCCCCAACGCCCAAGTACCATCAATTCAAAGGGTTCCCTACACTATGCGGGAGGTAACATTCAGGCATAAGACCGTAAGACCGGTGCTCTTGTCTTTTGACATCAACAAAGCTTCTGGTCCGGACTTCCTGCCATTGTACTGAAGAGGTGTGCACCGGAGCTTGCTCCAGTTCTGTCGCGTCTCTTCCAGATATCTTATGAATCCGGCACCTTCCCAGAAAACTGGAAATTTGCTCATGTCCAACCTATCCCAAAAAAAAGGATCTAAGACCGACCCTTACAAATACAGGCCCATAGATCTGCTTTCTGTTTTAAGTAAGGTGATGGAGAGGTGCATAAATCGCAAGCTTCTGGACTACCTCTAAAGTCACAGCTTGATTAGCGACAGGCAGTATGGTTTCCGGCACCAACGATCCACAGGGGACCTCCTAACTTACGTCACGCAATTGTGGAGTAAACTCATCCAGTCTTATGGTGAGGCTCATGTCGTTGCTCTTGACATCACGGAAGCGTTCGATCAGCTGTGGCACGCAGCCCTTTTAAACTAATGACTAAACTACAAGAGGAAGCTTTTCCCAGTTTTACTAACCTTAGGGCCGATTTCATCGACATTATTATTATGGACCAATAGGAAAATACCTTATCGAAATGCAATTTGACGGAAGCTGTCAAAGGTCTCAGAATATCAGTGATTTCTATTAAAATGTTGAATAAAATCGTGAAAATTCGACTGTATTATAAACAAGACCACTTTTTGATTCCAACATGATGCTTTTGTACAGAAAAAACAGGACAACTTTCATGTATTTTGATATATGTTATAGGTTTACATTTAACAATCCGTTATCCCCTCAGCGAATGGGAATAGGAGAAATAATAGGTCAATTTTCTAGCTGTTAAATTTGGCAGCAGGTTTGGTCGTTTGTTAATTCATGGCAATCTCGAAATTTGTTAAGTTTTATATACTGTCTGTATATATGATCATTATAGCTACACATACCTGTTGAATTGTGCGGATTTGCAAGAAAATAGAATATAAAAGGTATTCCAACCAATTCCTCATCTCTCTTTACATCATAATTTACATCATAATTAATCATTTGTTATAAATTCATGGGTTAATGAATTTCTTCAAAGCAATCAAAACAGTATGTCTCCCCATCCTAAAACACCGATATGTGCAAAACATGTTAATCCCTACATCTCCGAGGTGCATAATGCAATTACTGTAGACATAGACCTAAAATTATTAGTAATTACTGAAAAAATAAGAGCTAAAAAGAATTATAAATAGATAAAATATTGGAGGTTAAGGTTTTTGACTGGTGACTGGTGGTGATACAATATAGGGATGGCGACGATAGACGATACATTGATGTATCGAAAACATCGATACATCGGACGTAGAACATCGATCTTTACGCGTCGATGGTTTCATGACGATATATCGATATCGAGAGGAATCATAAGCATCCGTAACCGTATACCCCGAGTCTATCCTTAACTGTGCTACCATCTCTAAGCGAGGACTGGTAGCTTCGAAATTGAAAGGCCAGAAAGCTATTTAGGTGTTTAGTAGTATTTGAATATTATCATTACAGACGAGCACTGAGCCACTGAGTGGCCACTGAGCACTGTAGTCTTTTCTTCATTCTGTACGTCCCCAAGGGATAGAATAAGATAGACTGAAAACAGCGCATTTAATGATTTTCAGTTCTCAGAGAAAGATTTTCCCCTGCCGGCCCTTGACATCGTTTCGAAATACGCGACACGACATGAGAGTTGTTTAATATTGTTATGGGAGCAATTTTAGGATCAAAGGTATTAACTAAAGTAGAGTATTTTAAACACAAAAACTGCGCTAGTTTTATCAGAAGAAAACACTATATCTCTGAGCCACAGAGGCAAAGCGAATCTCAGGCTTTCGATTCTCCCATTACTAGTGTGATGAAATGACAATTTGTCCCTTCTTGGATTACTTGAAAAAGTTATGTGCTTTCCAGTTCGTTTCATTAAGTTGCGTTCAGTTCTAGGAACTAGTTCGTGAACCAACTACTTTATGCAACAATACCACAAAAAATATATATACAGAAACAGAGCAGATATTCCAGTCTTTCAGTCGAGATAACGTAAAAACGATTCAATTCATATTTTTTAATCGTTCCAATACATTCCACTGATCGCAAATGTATTCTCCCATCACTAACGTTATGAGACACTAATTTCAAATGTCAATTCCGATCTCCTTTGGTCTATTCTTCTTCTCGAACGTCACTGTATTCTATGTTTTGTGATCACTTGTTTTGTTATGTGTGAAAAATGGAATTTTTTAACAACAAATTTCCGTATAAAAGTGCTCCCTCCCAAGATTTTTTTGTGAAGAAATACATATTACACTGTCGTGTACTCGTTAAATCTGCACGAACCCCTAAATACGTGGTTATGTTGAATGTACCATCACCGATGGTGCGACTGATTATACACTGAAATTAAAACTGCAATTGTATGTATGAATGTTGAAACTGTTGAACAGTTTCGGACCAGTGGGGTTAAAATACTGTTGAGGAACTGGAAAGAAGTGTATGAATGTGTTGAAATGCAACACCTAACAAAAATTTGAGTGAAAAGGCTTTTTCATGTAAGGGTTTGGAAGTGCAAGTTTGCAAATATAGGATAAACTATAAGCACACAATAGGTGATATAATCACATATGGATTACAAAAGTTGCAGTAAACAAGGAAAAACCTTCAGCTAATCTGAAAAAATAGATTTTACTCAGACATCAAGCATTTTTAAAAATGTTTGCTCAGTTTTACATAATTTCATAATATTTATTAAACTGAAAAGATTTCAATGGCAAGCTGTCACTTCATATTTTACAGTGTTTTGTTTTGAATACTTTGATGCTATTTGCTGCCAAAAATTTGACGGAGATATCTTGAGGCTGATTGGGTATATTTAACGGACTGTTTGGTACTCGTACCCTATTGGTGCAGAATGATGGTTTGTTAAATTGTGAAATCCACCCTTAGTTGACTATTTTAATTTTTTTTTTAAATGTGAGCTTCCCATTTTAAAGTATGTGCTAGTATTATAACTTCTAGATCTTTCTGGTGCTGTACATTTTCAATTCCAACCTGCACTATTCTGTAACTTATAATATGAGGATTTGTCTTCCCAATATGAACTATCGCGCACTTTTTTGCATTGAGTGGTAGTATATTTATACGCTCCTAACCTTGGTAATTGTTTACACCATTACCATAAGACGTCACACATTTCTCCTTAGAGTAGCCCTTCAAGCTTTGAAAAATATTCTCAGCAGACGGATCGCGCACCTACCGGCCGCATCCGCTCGTCCTGCCACCGGCCTTGGTGAGTGTTCTGGTATTACGCGTATTACTGCCGCGCCACAACACAGTGCCGCGTTGCCTCGTCTGACCGGGTTACGTATCGAGGAGAGGCGACGTTGCCAGATGGACTATCGGTAGGATAGGGAATGAATGGACTAATTGTATGTACCTGTTTGACTTTTTTCTCGAACAATCTAGTTTGTGCTGAACATAATCCTTATTTTTTATTGTAAAACAGTTGAGAACCATGAAGATCCTGTTCTACGTGGCTTTGATTTTGGCGGCGATGGCAGCTTACGTGCAAGTTACTGACGCGTGCATTAGCAACGGCAGAGCATGCCAGGCTAACGGAAGATGGGGGAATTGTTGCTCAGGTTTCTGCTACCAGCAGGTGGGATGGAGGAGAGGATACTGCAAGAGGCGCTAATGCTGAAATGCTTAATAAGTGAATGGAATACAATATAAATATACCGAATAGTTTCAATAAATTAATGTAAATACACATACCGTTCTATTCTTTATTTGATCCTAGATACCATTCTCAAAATGTACAGGTTGTCCCACGTAGAACTGCAGCGATCGATTACTCGAAAAGGTGACGTTAGATAATTATGGAAACTTGGTTTTATGGCATACCTGATATGAGGAGTTTAAAATCGTGGCACAAATAGGCACCAAGTTGGTTATTTTGAATGGAAAATACCCTGTATATTTTCAATTCTGAACTATTCGCAAGATTTCAAATACATTCCATGAATAACATCCAATACCTAAGTCTAGCCGTTTAGAAACGTCAAATTTTGTGCAAAAAATCACAAATGTGAGTCCATAAAAGCCTATTCATTCTTCGTATATTTGTGTCTTTCTCGAACGACTTGTGTTTTCTGATAGAAGGGGGTCCATGTTAAGCTGCCCATAAAAAAGCTGTATGAAGAGATATAAAATGAGTATTTTCAAATACAGGGTGGACCAGAAAGACGTACTTAATGGGAATAAGTAGCTGGTGTTCGGAAACTTAGTCGCCATAGAGCGTTTCACCAGTGAGCAACGTGCGTTCTGTGTTAAGGTTTATTACAAAAATAGAGTTTCTTGCACTATTGCGCGGCGTCTATTTCGCTCTGGGCTTAGTTTACATGATCTAAATCAATATCCTAGTGAAATTGTGATCAGGTCTTGGATCAGAAAGTTCGAGTCTACCGGTTCGACATTGAATCCTGGGGCGTCCAAGGTCAATACGAACAGAGGAAACTGAGAGTGAAGTTGCGACGTCCGTACGCCGCGATCGACAGTTATCCCGTATATCAAGAACATCTGAAAGGCGTATTTAGGTAAAAGGCTATATAAATTTTAATCAGTGCAGGAATTGAAACAGCGGGACCACCATCTACGCCGTGCGTTTGCCGAATGACGAAGCTCATTTGCATTTGAGTGGATTTGTCAAATCAAATCAAATTAAAACACCAACGACCTTTGCATGTTACAGTTTGGGCGGCCATGTGGGCTGAAGGGATCATCGGACCCTATTTCTTCGAAAACAAGGAAGGCCTATAACAGTAAATTCTAATCGCTACACAGCCATGCTACGAACTTTTTCTTACCACTACTGCATAATTTTGAAGCCTACGAGGACCTGGTTTCGACAAGATGGCGCGACATGCCATAACGTTAACGAGTCTTTAGCACTTGTAAACAAAATGTTCGGTGGAAAGCTGATATCGCGACGAGGGGACATTCGCCTCCCCGAACCCCAGATCTCACACCACTGAATTTTTTGCCTGGAGATACCTCAAAAGTCGCGTTTATGCCAATAAATCGACGACGATTGTCCAGCTCAAGCAGAACATTTCCGAGATGTCCGTCTTCCCACGAGCGATGTGCCAGCGAGTATTCACGAATTTGAAGTCGAGATTCGAGGAGTGCGTACGTCTCGATGGCTCACATCTCAATGATGTTATTTTAAAAAAAATCCCATGTGTCTACTTTATTAAAAATATAAATTATGTTCCGTCCTCGTCGAAGTAAATATTTAGAAGACATATCGTAGTACCCTCGTAGTAGTACCCAACCGCCACGATTTCAAAGCGCGCACGCAGAGAAGGAAAGCGGCACCACGCCCCTTCCCCTACCTTTCTCCCCTGTGGCCGCCTATAAACCTTCATTTCTTGTTCTCGTGCCCGACCGTCAAGACGTTAACCGGCGCGCGTCGTTTACGTGTTACGTACAGTGCAGTGTCGAGGATCCGCTGAACATTTACAATTAGAAAACAGGACGGAAGGTTGGCCGATAGATGTGCATTCTCGAACGAAATACCGACCGACGGTCGCCCGAAGGTTCCTTTCGACGCCGACCAAAATTAGAAAGTGGCGGGCAGGTCTCTTTTTCTGAAGGGGCGTCACCATCAGCGTCAACTAACCGATCTGTTTTAGGTGCAAGTTAAATGAATATTAGTATGGATGCACCAGCGGCGCTGCAAATTGTGCCTAGCATGACGTCCGGGATAACGTTCTGACACTGTTGCTTGGGATAGCAACCTGGACCTAGCTTGTGATAGCCAACTTCATACCTAGGACGAACAAAGACGTTTGGGATAACGCTGAAACATTGGACTCCGTTGCTTGGGTTAGCAACGTGGACCTGGCTTGGGATAGTCAGCTTCACACCAAGCATGAACGAAGATATTTGGGATAACGTTGTAACATTGAATTATCGTTTGTACCATCACCCCAAGTTTTCATAATTATAATAATAATTCCAATGGATGGCTTCTTGCATTGGAAGCCTTTAATGACATTTTTCTACGCGCCATGTTAAATAATGAGATTAGTTTAATTGACGCGAAACATTTCAAAATATCAATATAATAACTTGAAAATTACGCAAATGCAGAAAACACAAAAGCAAGACTATTTAGTCAAAAAGTCACGCAAACAACTAAGCCTACGCTACGACTAAGATAAGTTTGCATGATTCTGCCATAAAAGGTGTCGTTCATGAACATCCATCCTTTGTTTCTTCTAATATAGAGTGATAAGTTTTTCACGAATTTAGCGTTGCAACCGATTCTCTACTACTATAAATTATAGGTAGCACAGACTGCATTTCAGTGTTCAAATAACAGCACAACAACTGACTCAAAAGTTGCCAAATCTTCCAACCACGTAAGCACTCTATACTTTTTGTATTTCATAAAGAATAATATATTGTGTTAGATTGAACGGAATCATTCAAGTATCCGATTCAAAACGAATTACTAGTTCATTTTACTTGTTATGCCACTAAAATAATAATAATAATAATAATCCGGCTTTATTTATACAAAGTATAAAAAAGCGAAGTGTCGCTAAAAAAATTTATGTAAATTTTCTAATCCCAATGAAAACAAAAAAGTAAAAAAAACCTGTAACGAGTCCCTATTCATGGCCATGGTCTACTTACTGGGCAATGAAATCAGAGATAAAATGCTTCGATCTTTTTTTGAAATTCTTTATAGAGTAGTGAGTGAACTCGGTAGGCAACGCGTTGTATAGCTTGGTAGCAGTATATACGTATGACCTTTTAAATAGGGATGTTGAATGTCTCGGGATAACCAAGATATGCTTATTCTTTGTGTTCAGTTGATTAACATCTGAGTATCTGGTAAATTTGGTTGATAGATATGGAGGGGCTTGTGTTGTGATTACCTTATGGGTCAAGGTCAATACGTGCATTTTTGTAGCTCTTCTATTTTTTGAACATCCAGCTCACCTTATTTATGTGACACTGTGTCAAATTTTCTCACTCCCACTCCAAATCTAAGACACGCAATTTGAATAGTCTGAAGTCACCTTATCTCAATCGATCTTGTGCAGGCCCATAGATACAGTCACGGTAGTGAATTCTAGACCATATTAAGGTTTCACACAACTTCAGCTTGAGACCAGTTATTACTTCAAGACACCGAATGATGTTCGGCACAGTTGACTAACGTGTTTTTCAAACCTCAAATCAAAATCAATCCTAAATTCTTGAACTCATTTTTTATAGGGATCGGTTGATCTAAAATGCTCAATGATAGTAATGGTTTTGCCTGACTTTTTTGATTTTTGGTCCAAATATAACTGCGGATGATTTTAACGGGTTAATTTTTAGATCATTTGCACAAGATACGTTAGATAAATTTATTAAATCATTATTAATCAAATGTTCGGCATTTTTTAAATCTTTAATATCAAAGCCAAAGTACAATTGAGTGCCGTCAGCATAGTTATGAATATTGCAGTGTTCAACGTACTCGTGGAAGTCAGAAATGTGAATTGAGAACAATAATGGTCCCAGAATGGAACCCTGTGGTACCCCTAGTTTAACTGGTATCTCCTCCGAGGTACTTGACCCAATCACAACCATCTGACTCCTGTCAGTGAAATAGCTTAATACAAAATTAATTGCAGATTTCGAAAAACCAAAGTATACTAAGTGACATATAAATCCGAACACCCAGTTTAAATGGTTTTATTTTAATAAAATTTTGTATAAGTACTTAATGAAGCATAATAAGTAAATGATAAAAATTTCAAAATGATTGCACTGCTTTAAAGCCCTTTGACCTTTAATAATGTGTGGATGCACCCTGATTTGCTACGCATTCTCCAACGCGCCTAGGCATGCTTCTGAAGGTGGTCAATGTCCTCCTGTGGTATCTCATTCCAGGCAACTACCAACTCCTCTCGAAGTGCTTCTAGAGTCTGAGGAGGAAGTTGCAAATTGAGCAATCTCCTACCCATCATATCCCACACGTGCTCAATTGGGGATAAGTCGGGAGATCTTGGTGGCCATGGTAACAATGTGACATCATTATGTTGAAAGAAGTCTATTGTGACTCTTGCAACATGTGGTCGGGCATTATCTTGTTGGAAAGTTGGATCTGCCAGGGTGTCAAGATAGGGTAAAAGATGGGGTTCTAGAACTTCGTGGATATAACGCTGCGCGTTCATGTTACATCTGATGAAGATTAACGGTGACCTGGAACCATAAGCTATAGCACCCCAAACCAGAACTCCAACAGTGTGATGAACATGTCTTTCAACAAAAAACTGTGGATTCCTACTTTCACCACGTCGCCTTCTAACCCTGGCACGACTATCGTGCATGCCTAAACAAAATCGAGACCCGTCACTAAAGACAATACTGTTCCATTCCTGATCCCAGAGTGACCGTTGTCTGCACCACTCAAGGCGATTACGTCGGTGTTCTCGAGTTAAAGGGAGGACCCAGTGTGGCCGGTATGAAAACAAGCCAAAACTTCTCATTCGTCGGTAAACACTTCGCATGCCAATAGATATTCCGTGTTCTGCAAACCATTCATTTGCAATGGACCTAGTAATGGAGAAACGGTCCCTTAAGGCCAATAATCTTAGGCGGCGATCTTCACGGTCTGTTGTTCTACGGCGGCGTCCAGTGCCCCTTGCTCTTTGCGTACGGCCTTCTCGAAGCCATGCCTGACAACACCTAACCACAGTGTCTACACTTCTTTGCACTCTAACTGCAATTGCCCGAAAAGAAAGTCCAGCTTCCCGAAGTCCCACTATACGGCCCCTATCAAACTCACTAAGTTGACGAAATCGTACAGGTCTCCGTACTCTAGGCATCGTAACCGATCGTAAAGGATGTCAAGAACCAAAATCCGCCAACGTTGATTCTTTACTTGCGGCTGAAATTATTCATTTTTAGAGCATTAGTGAATTAAAAAAAAAGCAGTATAAAAACCGGAATGTCCAACTTATAAGGCTGAAAATTTTTTCACTTGTTATTTACAGTAAGATAAATACATTCACCAACTTTTGTTAAAATAAAACCATTTAAACTGGGTGTTCGGATTTATATGTCACTTAGTATATATAAGCTTTTTCACAAGAATAGATGGTTCCAGAGTATCAAAAGCCTTTGTATAATCAAGTAACACTAAGCATGCTATATATCCTTGATCTACACATCTGATTAAGTCATCCGTGATGCTAGCTAGAAGTGTTGTTGTGCTGTGGTTTTTCCTGAAACCCGATTGGATTTCAGGAATGATACCATTAGAGAAGACGTAGTCAGATACCTGATGTTTCATGGCTAGTTCTAATAACTTGGAAAATGCTGGTAGTATATTTATCGGCCTCAGATGTGAAATATCTGTAGGGTTACTTATTTTAGCTAGGGGGAGAACATTTGCTTTTTTCCAACAGTTGGGGAAATTTGATGATGCAAATCAATTTCAAAATATTGAAAAATGGCCAACTTCTCATGATTAAAATATTCAATTATACAAAGTGAGCCATTTAAAGTGGAAGCATCAAGCAACCCTATATCTTTGACATTAGTTGACAGATCGACTAATATAATAACCGTCATTTCAGTACAATTTTAACCATGGTGCAGTACATACCAAAACAACGCGCTGAAATTATTCAGTTGTACATTCAAAATAACTTCTCAATCGTGAAAACTAAACTTGCGTTTCGTAAAAAAAATATAATGTTAAAAGTGCTCCAGCTGATAACACTATCAGACGTTTATACCCAAAATTTGTGAACACCGGTAGTCTTAGTAATGCCAGTCACCCATCCATACAACGAACAAGACGTTCCGATGAAAATATCGAAGCCGTACGAGCCAGTGTTGAAGAAACTCCATCAACTACCAAAACAAAGAAATTAATGATGATGGATCCCTCGAGCACTAAAAACTTTGGATGTAAACTCACTCCACTCTCGGAATTTCCGGGTGGAGGGTGGGCTCGAGGGAACAACATCGAAGATAAAATTTGTTTTTCGAACATCTGCGGGATTAACAGCAACATTGATGCTGTTCATCACTACCTGCAATCCAATCGTCCCGCCATGCTTTTCTTGGCGGAGACAAAAATCTCAGAGACTGCACCGATTAACCATCTCAACTTCCCAAACTACGAGGTGCACTCCAATCTGAGAAAGAACGGGGGAGTTGTGGCTTTTGTCCGCAGCAGTCTTTCCTGCTCCAGGGATCTTTCTTTGGAATCCGACCGGAAGGACATTCTGTGGCTTCGCCTCAACTCCAAAACATCACCCAAATTTATTTGCTGTCTTTATCGCTCTCCCTCGAACCATAACTGGGATGACCTACTCGAATACCTCGCCGTCCAGATCGACTTCCTGAACATCAATCACCCCGCTTCAGAGGTAGTTCTTCTCGGTGATTTCAATGCCCATAATGAGCTTTGGTTGGGCTCAAACAAGACCGATGCAGCAGGTCGTGCAGTCGAAGCGTTCGCTCTTACTCAAGGGCTGACCCAGCTGGTGACGAGCCCTACTTTTTTCCCCCGCGTCTCGTCACACGCCAGTAGCCTGCTGGATCTCTTTCTGACCACGCATCCTGCCCCTTACAGCACTGCTGTCTTGTCCCCCCTGGGTAACTCAGATCACGGTGTTGTGGAGGTTAGGTTTCGGTCAGAAGCCGCTGTGGCAGCAGAAACTCGCACAGGCCGCAAAACTTGGCATTACGGACATGCCGACTGGGAGGGGCTCAGAGACTTCTTCTCTAGCTTTCCTTGGAGAGATGTCTGTTTCACTGACGCGGATGCGTCGACTGTCTGTTCTTCAATAACCGAAATTATCCACGTCGGAATTGAGGAATACATCCCTCACACAGTGAAAGTTCCTAAACCAGGGTCCAACGGCTGGTTCAACAAATCGTGTGACACTGCTCGCCAGCAGAAGATCAAGGCCCGCAGAACCTACTTACAAAACCCCACTGTAGAGAACAGACAAGCCGACGTCGAGTCCAGAAACAAATATAACGAAGCGGTTCGCAATGCCAAAAACCAGCATGATATAAAAGTTAGGCACAGGGTAATGTCGCAGCGCAATGGCAGTCGGTCTTTCTGGACGCTGGCCAAGCAGATTGAAAAGAACTTCTCACACAGTAGCCTTCCACCACTTACGTGTCAGGATGGAACTATTGTATTCGACTCAAAGGCCAAGGCGGAAGTGCTAGCCAAGATCTTTGCTGCCAACTCCACCATGGACGTCCCCACTAACGCCCAAGTGCCGTCAATTCAAAGGATTCCCCACACTATGCGGGAGGTAACATTCAGGCATAAGACCGTAAGACGAGTGCTCTTGTCGCTCGACATCAACAAAGCTTCTGGTCCGGACTTGATTCCTGCCATTGTACTGAAGAGATGTGCAGCGGAGCTTGCTCCAGTTCTTTCGCGTCTCTTCCAGGTATCTTATGAATCCGGCACCTTCCCAGAAAACTGGAAATTTGCTCATGTACAGCCCATCCCAAAAAAAGGATCTAAAACCGACCCTTACAACTACAGGCCTATAGCTCTGCTTTCTGTTATAAGTAAAGTGATGGAGAGGTGCATAAATCGCGAGCTTTTGGACTACCTTGAACGTCACAGCTTGATTAGCGACAGGCAGTACGGTTTCCGGCACCAACGATCCACAGGGGACCTCCTAGCTTACGTCACGCAACTGTGGAGTAAACTCATCCAGTCTCATGGTGAGGCTCATGTCGTTGCTCTTGACATCACGAAAGCGTTCGATCAGCTGTGGCATGCTGCCCTCTTAAGCAAACTTCCATCCTACGGCCTCCCAGAAAAGCTTTGCAGATGGGTGGCTGACTTTATCTCTGGCCGCAAGATATCCGTCGTAATTGACGGCTTCTCCTCTTCATCCCACAACGTCAACGCGGGTGTTCCCCAGGGATCGGTCTTGGCTCCAACACTGTTTCTCTTACATATCAACGACCTCCTTTCCTGCACGATCAACCCAATCCACAGCTTCGCTGATGACAGCACTCTACATGCAGGAATTCAGAGTGTCAAGCCGATCTCTGCCGCTGAGCTGGAAAAAAGAAGACTAGCGACGACTTCTTCTCTGACAAGAGACCTGGAGGCTATCACTGCTTGGGGACGCAACAATCTTGTACAGTTCAATGCTTCCAAAACACAGTACTGTACTTTGACGAACAAAAAGCGTCCTAGCGCTCATACAGTTTCGATGGACGGTCGAGTTCTACCAAAGAGCCATTCATTTCGGCTGGTCGGAGTCCAGATCACCGAGGACCTGATCTGGCACGAACACATCTCTTCAATAGCTGTAGCTGCTGGGAAAAAGCTAGGCTATTTGTTTAGGGCTAAGAAGTACTTTTCTCCGCATGACCTTCTCACTCTATACAAGGCCCAGATAAGGCCTAGCCTCGAGTATTGCTCACACATTTGGGGTGCTGCCGCCCCGACTACATTGTCCGACTGATCGATGACTCTTCTCTAACAGACAGTCTCGGGACTCTTTCGCACCGGCGGGCCGTCGGCGATCTAGCTCTTTTCTATCGCTACACCAACGGGCTTTGCTCCTCAGAGCTCTCTTCCATGATGCCGCCGCGCGATGTGCCTGCCAGACAGACCCGCCTGACTTCGGCGTCCCATCCTAACCGGGTCAAACTTCGTACATCCAGAACTGGCCGATACGACCGCTCCTTTGTCCCGAGGGTGTCTAGATTGTGGAACAATCTACGGGAGGAAGCTTTTCCCAGTTCTACTAACCTTAGGCAGTTCAAAAATCGTATTAACAAAATTTCTTTGGGATCACCATAGCAGCCGCGGTGTTCCGGCATTTAGGCTTCTGCCTGCGCGGCTGTTTCGATATAAAAAAAAAAAAACATCCGGTCGTCATCGTTCTCAAGAGTTAGGCATCGCTCGAACCATTCTCCGACGCTTAATTCATTAGGATTTTAAGCTGTTTCCATACAAAATTCAAATGGCTCATCAATTGAACCTAGCTGATTATCCCTGTCGCTTTGATTTTGCTAAATGGGGCATTGAAATGGCCGAAAATGAAGATGACTTTTGGCGAAAAACCCTCCTGTCCGACGAGGCACATTTTTCGTTACATAGAGGCGAAAGTTAACAAAATTGTCGATTTTATGCCACCAAAAACCCTCAATCAATCGAACAGCAGCCTCTTTATGACCAAAAAGTTACTGTTTTATGCGGTATGTGCGCGAATATGGTCATCGTGCTGAATTTTTTTGAAGACGATGATGCAGCTGCGGTAACCGTCATTGGTGAGTGTTATCGAGCCATGATAACGAATTTTTTGAGGCTACTTGTTTGTAAAAATGACATGGACGATTACTGGTTCCAGCAGGACGGCGCCACATGCCACAAAGCTCAACCAACAATCAATTTATTGCGACAATTGTTCCCTGGACGACTGATATCGAAAAATGGCGATTTTGACTGGCCACCGAGATCACATGATTTAACGCCACCAGACTTTTATTTGTGGGACTATTTGGAATCCACGAGCCAAGGACTCTAGCTGCCCTCAAGAAAAATATTGCCGCCATATCCGCCGAAACATGGGCCAACAAATCTCCTTGGATCAAAATAAAAGTCTTTTCAAATGAACAACAAAAAATATTTTTAATGTATTTTTTTTATAAACAAATGCTTCCACTTTAAATGGCCCACCCTGTATTTGAGTTAACACAAACAAAATATGTATGTGTGATGTAGATGCACGTATGAAAGTGATCCTTGTAGTTTTACTGTCACCGACCAAAAATCGTGAAAAGTCATTTATAAAGTTCAATGTACAGGTTGTTCAAGAAAAATAGATACTCTGATTACAAACTCGCACAGTTTATTATAAAAAGTCACCAAAAATATGGATACGGACAAGAAGATAACACCTAAAGCATATGCTCGACGTGTCCATCATCCGCTCGAAGACAGGCTCCTACCCTTCTCTGCATATTGCGGAACACTTGATGTAAGACTGCTGGTGTTCTTGCGTTAATAGCCTCTGTATTACGCGCTTGTAGGGTTGGGATTGAGGTGGGTGGGTTCTGGAAAACCCTGTCTTTGATGTAGACCCATAAATAAAAATGTGGAGGCGACAAATCAGGGCTACGTGGTGGACACAATGTTCGCGGAATAATGCGGTCTCCAAAAAATTCAGTTAGGAAATTCATTGTCGAACCAGCGGTGTCAGCTGTGACCCCATCCTGCTGAAACCAGCAATAACGTTCCTCCGGCTTCAAAGACGCAATGAACAATTCGAGGATTTGTTGATATCGCTCCGCAGTAATGGTCTCAGTAATGAAGAAGGGTCCCATGAGGATTTTCACTTCCCCATAGACGGTAATTCTGTGCATTTACATCTAAATGCACCCAAGCCTCATCAGAGAAGAAGACCGTATCCAACTGAGCCATACCTTGGCACACAAAAAAATTAAACCAGCGACAAAAGTCCTGGAGGTTTCAATTCTTGAAGAAGTGTACACTGCCAAATGATATTTCATCCATGCGCGAGAGGCGAGGGTTAGCTGTAACTGCTTGCAGCACCACTTCGATCTTTTCTGGCGTTTTTACACTGGGCTGACGTCTCACCAGTGTATGTTCATTCTGAAAACGATCAACCACTTTCTTTATCGTTGTATTGTGCACGCTTCGTTGATCACCGAACTTCTGAAACCGTTCCTGCACGATTTTGAACGAACCCGATCGAAAAGGCCACGCGTTTATGAAGGTACACTGTTGCTGTAGCCGCAATTCGCATTTCCCAATGTTTTATTTCACGTTTTTATAGGCTTACGAAGTTAGAATATTTATTTTTCTTGAACATCCTGTATTATTATTCAACAGCTAAGAATTATGAAGATCCTGTTCTACGTGGCTTTAATCCTGTCCGCAATGGCAGCGTACGTGCAAGCATGCATTTCAAATGGCGGTGCATGCCAGGCTGACGGCAGTTTGGGGAATTGTTGCTCTGGTTTCTGCTACCAGCAAGCAGGATGGGCAGAAGGCTACTGTAAAAACCGCTAGACATTCTTTTTGCTTGGATGTCTAAATAAATCTCAATGTATGAATGCTAAGTGAATTCAATAAATATGTATACTTGGTAACTCTTTGGTTTTTCTGTTCTTCCAGTCCCCCAATAGATCTCAAAAAACTGAACGAACTATAACGGCCCGGTATTATGTAAAACACCAATCAAACGTCAAAAAACCTATAAAATGTCATCTTGCAGACTAGGTAGTTTTTAGGGTGCAAACAGTCATTCCACGTTTGCTCACTAGGATGTTTGTGAGCGTCCATCTATGGAGGAATAGCTCAACTACACGCATTGTTGGTTGCATATGTTTTGTGAAGCCGAGTAGTCTATAGTTTTCATCTCTGAGAAGAAAGTTGGTTGAATAGCAAGATCGCATCTGGATGATTATGTGTATTGGTCTGCATGTGTATAAAATCAGGGATATTTGCTGTATGATGGAATTATTACTAAATATGCTGCCAATGAAGTATATCTATTAGCTGTCCCCGACTGGTTATTTATATGTTGTCCTTTCTGAAGACAGGTAATGTTCAAAGTTATAAATTACGATAAAATTTAAATGACTGGAAATAAAAAGTAACCTTTTCACTTTCATAAATATTCTATAGCACATTTTCTCACCTGTTCCTTCACCAGCGATGGCTTTTCTTTTCTTATCTCTCTCATTTTTTAAATTGAGCAAATTTGCATATGTAATTTCACAAATGAATAAGAAAAAGTGGTTGCGCAACTAATTTCTAGCTTTGAATCTCAAGTAAGTGTATTTGAGACAAGAATCCAGTGGAATTATCATCAACACTTATTATTATCACACAAATCCTCACGATGCCTATGTATTGCCGTTTCCTTCTAGCTATAGTATACAACTTACAGCTTAGACCTCCAGTAATGCCATCTCTGAAGCAAAGTGTACATCACATCGAGCCAAACATTGATAACTAAAGCAACATGACGTTTAGGCAACACGTATAACAAAATGAGTTCACAACAAGTGTCTATCAGCTACTGCTAAATTAACATACGGGAAATCACCACTGCGCCCGAGTTGTATTTAATTGCTGTTAGCATGTAGATGACATAATTCGACAGAGAACATAATTATTTCTTATCTCTCTCATTTTTTAAATTCAGCAAGTTTGGGTATGTAATTTCCAGAATGGCAACTAATTTATAGCTTTGAATCTCAAGTAAGTGTATTTGAGACAAGAATCCAATGGAATTATCACATATTATTAGCACACACATCTCACTATGCACCTATGCATTGCCGTTATATCCAGTAATGCCATCTCTGAAGCAGATTTTACATCACATCAGAGCCAAACGTTGATAGCTGAAGTAAGATGACGTTTAGGCAACACGTACAACTACAAAACGACGAGTGTCCATCAGCTAGTGCTAACATCTTGTAGAAAAACCTACATAATGTCACAAAAAACGAATATAATGTCAAAAAAATCGTCATAATGGCACATTTCAAGATAATACCCGTGCGGAGCTTTTTGTATATTCTAGATCTAGAAGCTATGGACAAACCTAAATGGCAAAGTAACCCAGATTAGGCCCGACTAAAACTGGCATAAGTAGTAGTGGTGGAGAGGAAAGCCTAGCAATTACGCCCCTTTTGACTATTGTTTTCGACCACTTAGTACCAAAACTGTACTACTCAGCACGTCATCTACTGGTAACTGCTTATTGAGCAGAGATGCGATGTAGCCACGCAGACCTTTAAGTGACCTTATGCGTGATATAGGCAACACACAATACAATATCTACGGCTCGGAATAAACTTCCGAGGAGGCGATTCGAGCTCGCGAGCCTCGGATGGACCGATTAGTAGATCGACAAGCATATTCAATATTACAAGAAATGACATGTATTTTCCTTTAAGTGCTATAGATTAACAACGATGTCATCACCTTGTCCCCAGAATCTATCAGCAGCAGTTATACAGTACAGCGTACAACAATTATTGAGTTGTAAAATGAATGCTCATGTATAATAACCTATCAAATTTAAGCTTTTTTTTATTTTTTTGTTTATTTTTTGATTTGTTACTTTCGATGTAATAGACCAAATCTGTTTGTGAACAGTGTATTATTTTGAATATCTGCTAGCGACTATATGATTAAGTGTAAGAGTAGCAGCATGCTAAACTTCGCCTTTTAAGTCTGACATTTCGCTATACTACAATGTTACGAGTATTGTAGAGACGTCTATTATTATTATTAACATTAGATATTTCGCTAAAATATGTGTATTTCTTCGGTCATTGAACAAGGATACAAGACTGGAATGGACAAGTTTGCTTTCCGTCTCTGTAACCATGACCATTAGCAACTCATCAATGCGGTACAGGTCTTACATTTACATACATTTCAACAGAAAGACGGAAACAAGGCGTAACACGCTTTCAAGTAAAAACTTGAGACGAAGAAGCTTCTATATCGTTTAAGGGCTGTATCGTCAGTCAACCCTATAATTGTAGGACGCTTTTTTCCTGTCCTTCAGGAAGCCAGATCTGTTTCTAGATTTCCACTGTTTCGTGTCAGCGATCTATTTTGAGGTTATGCAACAAATATCTCTTTGCATCACATTGTTCATGCTTTTGATTTTTATCATCTGTTTTATCAGCATGAAGTTTCTTACAATTCCAAAAGAAAACATAACCTCACAATAGGAGAGTTTTTACGCCGACACGGTACAGCAGAAATCTAGATATAATAATAATAATAATAATAATAATAATAATAATAAATGTCTTTATTAATCAGCATACATCAGTGAGGCGAAGTTTAGCCAAATGGCTACTCTTACACTTAACCTCACTGTGTACGAAAGAGTAACACAGTTAAACTCGATACACAAACAAACAATAGTAATAATAAGAAAAAGAAACAAATGCACACTTGAACTATTAATATCCCATCAGCTGTTTCTTAACGAGTCTCCTGAAAGGCACTATTGTTTTACTGCGACATATTTTATCTGTAGAGTTGTATAACTTGACAGCATGAAATGTGAAGCTTTTCTGGAAAAGGGCTGTATAGTGGACTGGCATCGCAAAATTTAGGTTGTGTCTGAGATTTCTCTGATTAATGTTACCTCTTGGTACTAGCTTTTCTAAAATGTACGGTGGTTTTTTTTGTGCGAACTACTTTATGGACAAACACCTTCATAGCATAAACAAACTGTGATTCCATTTTTAACCAATTTAAATCTTTAATCTTTGAAGAGACATGACTATATTTACGAAGTCCAAACACAAACCTGAAGCAGCCGTTTTGAATTTTTTGTAACCTATACCGATCCGACGAATCCAAATAAGAATAGAATAAAATCAGAGAATGTTGCAAAGATGACAGGATCAAGCTTTCAACTAATTTTTTCCTAGTCTTAAAGTTTAAAATGAAACGGTTGGAATATAAAAGTTTTAATTTGGCATATGTTTTTTGAGACAGCTAACCGATGTGTCTATCAAACTTCAAGTTAGAGTCCAAAATAACTCCAGCCTTTCTGAAGGAGCGAAAATACTATGAAAATCAAGGCCACAAAGGCGTTGTACAATTGCAGGACCGACTGACGAATCGGCCTAAAGGTTAGGAAGTATCAGAGGGCATATTTCCAATGAACTTTTTTTGATTTTACTAAGAACTAAAAAACATTTTTTTTACTAGCTTAAACGCGCGACTCCGTCCAGGAGGAAGTAGTGTAAAATACAGGGTGGTCCATAAGTCCTTTGAAATTTCAAATTTGAATAAGATTTAACGGGTGAGCGTGAGCGGCGCGGGCGAGGTGGGGGCAGTATCTTCAGTGTCTGGGAATTCAGTCGCCATGGAGTGTTTCACTGGAGCGGATCGTGCTTTTTGTGTGCGCGCGTTTTATCAAAATAATGATTCGGCAACCATTGCGCGGCGTAAATATCGAGAATACCACAATTTTACAAAGTGTCCAACAGCTCAAACGATTAAGAACTGGGTTGCTAAGTTCGAAGAGACTGGTTCGACGTTAGATAAACAGCGGTGGGGTCGACCAAGGACAACTCGTATTGAAGAAAACATCAACATTGTGGCACAGTCTGTTCGTCAAAATCCTATCCAGTCTACTCGTAAGCATTCCAGTGCACTAAACGTACCCAGAACATCTTTACAGCGCATTTTAAGGAAAGATTTACGTCTGCACGCTTACAAAATTCAGTTAGTGCAAGAATTAAAAGATAATGACGCTATTCAGAGACTAAACTTTGCGAATGAAATGTTGAATCGATTTTCTTCGCTCAATAATGTGTTGTTCTCGGACGAGGCTCACTTCCATTTAAACGAGCACGTAAATAAACAAAATTGCCGTTATTGGAGCCCCGAAAATCCAAGGCGTAAGCATCAGAAGCCCTTACACAGCCCTAAAGTTACAGTTTGGGCTGCTATGTCAGCGCATGGCATCGTAGGCCCTTATTTTTTTGAGGACGACAGAGGTCGCGCATTAACTGTTACTTCGGAGCGGTATGTAGCAATGATAGAAGAGTTTTTGACACCAGCGTTGCAGAATTTTCCAGGCTATAATACGCAGACCTGGTTTCAACAGGACGGAGCAACTGCCCACACCTCCAACACTTCTATGCCCGTCGTCTGTCAACTTTTTCCCAGCAAAGTAATTTCTCGAAGAGGAGACATTTCCTGGCCACCACGTAGTCCAGATTAGACCCCAATGGACTTCTTTTTATGGGGCTACCTCAAGAGTAAAGTGTACGACACCACTCCGCGATCAGTTGATGTCCTGAAAGAAAATATCCGAAGAGAAATGGCAAGCATTACAGTGTTGACTTGCCGCGCAGTCATCGACAATTTTAGACGTCGTTTATATGAGTGCCGTGATCGTAATGGATTGCATTTAGACGATGTGATTTTTAAAACATAATTCCCATTCAATAAAGATGATAACAAAATATAATAATTCTTCATAATGTAACTAGTTTTGTTTTATTCCTTTTTTTCCAGCTCAAAGGACTTATGGGCCACCCTGTATAAGTCTTTCGTTTTGCGTTAGTGTGTAGGAGATAGGTTTCGGGGAAAGAGACTCAATATGGACAATGGACATTTTTTATTCAACGTTCTAATGCAACAGTAAATTAATACCAAATCAGAATCACAATAACAATACGTGAAGTATCTTACAGCCTGGGTGACATATCTTAATCCAATAACTGTTTATTCACAGTATTATACTTGAAGTAAGACAAAACACAAAACAAATCTAAACCAAGACGATCACGCTAAGAAAACGCATGTCGAAATTCAGTGCACGATGCAAATGCCTTATTTATATACCCTCACTCATTTCGGTCGGACCAGCGACTGAGCGCTTCCGCGTCCATGTCAAATTCCATTAAAAGTCTAATCATATTAGCAAATCTCCTCGAAATAATTGTAAAGTCTGTTTTTATTGATGCAACTTGTTCAATTGGGTATTTAAAACATGCCAACATTTTCGATTGGATCCCAAAAAACACGTTCTCATTCTTTGTTGTCGAATAACAAGTCTTCCCACAAAAATTGGTGTACCCATTTTATGCGTCCATGTTTTGAATACCCCCTTGAACAACATGCAGAAATAAAACCAGACTTTACCATTAATCCGTAAACAGGGGTATTTTCGTCTAATATGATTAGACTATAAGCTGTTTGGGCTGCAGCACGTGAAACAGATATTCCAAAGGTTTTTCCCTAGATGAAAAAAATTTTTTTTGTCTTGTAATCAATATGGCGGATTTTAGGTTATTCACAAATTCCTTTATAACGAAAATGTCACTTGTGACACATCGTTGGAAAGGAAATTTTGCATAGAGTACGATTATGGAAGAAAATATACAGGTTTCCATTTGAAAAGCGAAAGTCAAGGTCACTTCCGGTTAAACGAGAAGGGAGAAATAATCCATTCAACTTTCCAGAAATGCCTCTTAATGACTAAATGAACATGTCCCAATCTTACCAAAAAAAAACTACAGCGAGTCTCCAATTTTCATTGTCACCCGGCATACCAAAAATCCCCACCGGTATTACGTATTTTGAAAAGTGACTTTGTCGATTTTTTTGACATTGTATTGCTTTTTTATGTCATTATGTAGGTTTTACTACAAGATATTACCATAGATACCAGATACCATAGCTAGAAGGAAACGGCAATACATAGGCATCGTGACAATTTGTGTGATAATAATAAGTATTGATGATAATTCCACTGGATTCTTGTCTGAAATACACTTACTTGAGATTCAAAGCTAGAAATTAGTTGCGCATCCACTTTTTCTTATTCATTTTGGAAATTACATATGCAAATTTGCTGAATTTAAAGAATGAGAGAGATAAGAACAGAAAAGCCCTGGCTGCTGAAGGAACAGTTGAGAATATATGCTACGAACAGGAATATTTATGAAAGTGAAAAGGTTATTGCATTACTTTTTATTTCCAGTCATTTAAATTTTATAGAAATTTTGCGATGTCAATAGAAAATATGGATCAGCGCCTAGATGCGCGGCATTGCGAAAATTTTTGATGTGTAATGCGTCATTACTGTGACGAGGTTTAATTCCGCACAACGCGGGCGCGGTTGCGATTTCTCGTAGTGCTCCTCAAAGTTTTTGAAAGCACAGAAAAACCGGAAAAATCTTAGTTTATAACTTTATACCTAACCTGTCTTCAGACAATACAACATATAAACAACCCGTCCGTCACAGCTTCATTGGCAGCATTATTCAGTAATAATTTTCTCACACAGCAAATATCACTGGTTTTATACACATGCAGACCAATATACAAAATCATCCAGATGCGCTCTTGCTATTCAACCAACATTCTTTGTTTCACATCTGCTCAGAGATGAAAACTACTGACTACTCGGCTTCACAAAGCATATGCAACCAACAATGCGCGTAGTTGAGCTTTCCCTCCCTAGATGGACGTTCACAACGATTCTAGTGAGCAAACGTGGAATGACTGTTTGCACCCTAAAAACTTCCTAGTCTACAAGATGACATTTTATCGGTTTTTTACGTTTTATAGATAATTCAGCTATTATGACATGACTGAGTAACGAACATCCACACTTTCTCATTTATATTTCATTTATTCGCGATAGACAATGAAAGTGCAAACGTGTCGAGGCCATTTGCAGAGTACGCATTGATTAGATATTCCAGAAACGTAGATGAAAGATGGCTCTTAATTAGCAGCTCGCAAAGATACGAACTGATGACACTTTGCTCGCCGGCATCTCCGGCCGTGTCGTGGGCGACCTCTGCCTGCCCCCTCGACCGCCTAATGAATTAGCTAATAAGTGGACGGCAGCTAATTGTGTTTCCTTCAGAGACACAGACGGAATGACGTCCGGGGATGGCAGGCTGCCCGCCCGCCTCTTTGTCCACCCTCTCGCTCTCCGTTATCGGAATTCCAATTTTAAACTTTCACGCTTCACGATAATGGTGACCGAGTCGGCTACGCAAAGCGATATCCTTTATTGAAGAATGAAGGCTTTCACTGCTAATTCTAATGTAATTTAGGTTTTTCGGGCTGTTGCGCATCAAAGAGCATGAAAGAAACTGTCGACTGGGACAAACTGATAAATCAGCGGTGGCCGAACACGCACACCAAGATGTCCACAATGTTCTGTTCGACCAAACTGAAGTCCTGTCAACATCCTCCCACTACTCAGCCCGAATGTACAGAGAAGCAATTGAAATCTATAAACACAATGATAATTTCAATAGAAAAGAAGAAGGCCTTGCTTTGAACAAAACGTGGTTCCCAATTCTAAAAAACACAGCGCAACAACCACGTTGCTCAAGAGGCCCAGAGTACCCCCACCAGACACCTCAGTCCTCAGTCCACCGATCGGCTATAAAACCGTACGCTCATCCAGTTAACCCATTGATTCCCAAAGTGGTCTATATCGACCCCTAGGGGTCTATGACAACCTGCCAGGGGTCTACGTCAGCGAAAAAAAATTTGGGGGTCCATGAAATGAATATGGGGGTCCACGATAGTGGATCTCAACACATACACTGATAGTACCTATTTACTTACATCATACTATCTTATAATATCAGAACATATACATTATTTATAAAAGTACGTATGAAGTAAAAAATTTATTATATATGTTTATAAAATTGTGTAAGTTGTAGGATGTTGGTATTCGCTTTGTGGTCGCAATACATTTTGAACTTGTAAAAACCTGAGAGTCGCAGTCTCAGAGCTTCGCTACCTTGCACTGACTTGTTCAATTCGTCACTCTATAAATACGAATGTGGGACAAATATGTTTATTCGTTTCCTGAATCTTGAAAAGGAAAGTGCTAAGAAAATATTTTAAAAAATATAAACAGATAGTATATCACACAAATTATAGTGAGTCAGTGTTATTTTGTTCGAGAGTGCTGGAGAAAAGTAAGTACATTATTTTTTATTAAATTTTAGTTTTGTACTCGTAGTTAGCAAAGATAGATAAATTACGCCAATCATGACTTTAGTTATTAGTAGTTAAATATTCAATCATGCAAAAGTACACGAGTACTCCTTAATAGTTTCTTTTTGAAAGTTTTAGCAATCGGTAATATAATTACAGTGCAATCTCCGTAATTCGAGCTAATTGTTGCAAGAATATGTTCGAATTATGGAATGTTTTCGGAAAAATCAAAAAATATTTTTAATATACAGATGCCGGATTTTCTGTCTTATTTAAATAATTTAATTTTGTCCACAGATGACTGATGCCATGTCCGAATCTAAAAAGAAATGTAGACAGTACAGTGTTCATTATTCGAAATTTGGCTTCATTCCATTATTGCCGGACAAACAGCCGCCTATGTGCCTTTTATGCAACAAAGTTTTGGGCAATGACGCTATGAAACCATCTAAACTGCAAGATCATCTGAGAAGATGCCATCCTGATAAAACAGAGAAAGATTTGAAATACTTTCAAACACTCAAAGATAAATTTCAGAAGAGACCTACACTGGACAGAACGTTCGCTTCGACGTCACAAAGAAATGATGATGGTTTGCGGGCGTCTTACAATATCTCGTTACTTATAGCAAAATCCGGAAAACCGCATACTATCGGAGAGAAGTTAGTTTTGCCAGCCGTTGAAGAGGTTTTAAAAACTGTTTTACACAAACCTGCATCTGATATTAAAAGAATTCCCTTAAGCAACAATACTATTGAAAGACGTATTGATGAAATGAGTTCTGATATTGAAAGCTTCTTATGTAATTATTTGCAAACGACCCATTTCTCTATACAACTGGACTTTACCTGATAATGCAGCATTATTATTGGCATATGTTCGTTTTATTATGAATCAAGAAATCTACGAAGAACTGCTCTTCGCAAGAACTTTGATAACCGACACTAAAGGTGAATCAATATTTCATGTTTTGAAGGATTACTGCATTGAAAAAGCAATTCCTTTATCAAATATAATATCAGTAGCTACAGATGGAGCACCTGCCATGGTTGGACGTTATCGTGGATTTATAAGCTATTTAAAACAAAAAGTGTCAGGGGTGTTAGCAATACATTGCGTCATCCATCGACAACATTTAGTTGCTAAAAATTTGAGTGTTAGATTGCATGAATCACTTCATTTAGTCATTGATGCAGTAAACCGAATCCGAAGCAACGCGTTGAATACGCGGTTATTTGCGCAGTTGTGTGAAGAAAATGACGAACACTTTCATCAATTACTCCTTCACACTGAAGTACGCTGGCTGTCGAAAGGCTTATGTTTGACAAGATTTTTTGCACTTTTTGAGACTATTTTAGAATTTCTGGATACTAAAGATAAAATTTTAAAAGAAAAATTAATGAAGAGGAAAACAGACATCGCCTATTTAACAGATTTATTTACAAAATTTAATATGGTTAATTTGCAATTACAAGGCGACAGTTTAAATTTGATTAAAACAAAGTCCATCTTATCAGCGTTTCTTGCCAGAGTTAAACTAATGAAGCAAAATATTGGACGGGGCGAATTTTCTGAGTTCCCCAATTTGTCACAGACAAGCTGCCAGGAAGACGACGTTTCAACTTACGTTCAACATTTAAATGCCCTCTATTCAGATTTTGAATCTAGGTTTGAGGATATTTTGACTATGGTAATACCACCGTGGATAATTAATCCATATGGTGACATAGAAGAAACGAATGTCATAATACAAGAGGAACTGACTGAACTAAGTACAAACGAAGAACTTAAGGTTCAGTTTAAAAATGGATATCAGCAATTCTGGCTGCAAAACAACATACCCGTTACTTATCCCGTATTATGGAATATTCGTCATACCTAGTGGAAAGGGGGTTCAGCGCTGTTACCAATCTCCTAACGAAAAAAAGAAACAGACTGGACATCATTAGCCGAGGAGATTTAAGATTAACCCTTACAAAATTGACGCCAAATGTTGATAATTTATTATTAAAGCATCAGGTTGATCCTTCTCACTAAAAATATTGACTTATTGCTTATGTTATTTTATTTATAGTTTATTTTATGTTTATTGGTGTCTGACCAATAAATGCCCGCATTGGGAATAAGTGCCCGCATTGATTTTTTTAAAGAACCTCCCTTTATAGAAAATATTTTTTTTAAATTATTCTGAAAATTCAAGGATAGGTACACACTAAAATTTGTTAATTTTTTGCCTATTTTTAGATAACTTAAACGTATAAGAAGCGGAATTTAATCAAACTAACAGTGAAATTATTGTAGAACATACACTTATGTTATAATTAATAAACGAACTCGCTTATTGTACTATTTTAAGTAAAAACTTTCTTTTTATTATTTTCCACTTTTTTTTTATTTTATCCCTCTTATTTTTTTTCAATGCGGGAACTTATTCCCAATGCGGGCACTTATTGGTCAGACACCTGTTTATTTAATGTTACGTATATTTTACATAACAGATACAAAATTTTATTTTGAGTAGTTTTAATTTAAATTCAATTAATAAATGTATAAATTAACATGTGTTTTTACTTTAAGTTTTTAACACTAAACTTCACTACAGTTAGAAATTTACAGGAAATCAATATCAGGTAAGTAGGGGGTCTACCCAAGACGGAAAAACATGGCAAGGGGTCTACGACAGAAAAAAGTTTGGGGAACTCTGCTTTAAGCGAAACGTGGTTCCCAGTTCTGAAAAACACAGCGCAAAAGCCACGTGACTCAAGAGACCCAGAGTACCCCCACCAGACAACTCAGTCCTCAGTCCGCCGATCGGCTATAAAACCGCACGCTCATCCATTGAACCGATCAGTCGACCCGCCAAGCCGAGCATATCGCTCTTGCCGACAGTGCCACTGAAGATGGCTACCGCAGATGTAGCCGAAAGATACGGCTCAACAGCCCGAAAAACCTAAATTACGATATTCATTACTTGTACATTTCACAATGAAAAAAATGTTCGAATGGATATCCGTAGAAGGGGACGAATAATAGGTAGCAAATTACCCAGTAACTGGTGAGGTGGGGTCTGTAGTAGTGATGTAGCAAATATTCGCATGTTTATTCATATTCGCGAAATTCATGACAATACTTTGAGAATTAGTCTGATCATATTAGAGGTTTGCAAAATAATTGTAAAGTTTGGTTTTATTGATGCAAGTTGTTCAAGGGTGTATTTAAAACATGCACTGATAAAACGGGTACACCAATTTTTGTGGGAATACTTTTTATTCGAGAACAAAGAACGAGAAAACGTGTTTTTGGGATTCAATCAAAAGTATTGGCAGTTGTTGGTAATGCGACTATGGTTTCTCGCAGATCTTTGAAAGTCTTCAAATTCGTAGGATTCGTACTTCTAAATAACCACAATGAAATTGGAGTAGATTTTGAAAATTTCTAATTGTTTATCCCAAAACACTTGTTTTCTGGCCATCGCTACTAGTTTATTGAGCAATATACAGGGTTAGTTCAAAGAGCATTGTATATCAAAATACACTAGTTTACCTTGCCGATATGAATCGCAAACCATTCCGGAAAATAAATGTTATTTTTATGCAAAAAAGTATGGGTTAAGTTTTTTCTTCTAAACAAATTCAAACATTTCGAATTTGCGAGTAATTCGCAACAAAAGATGATAGACACATCCGCTTTGTTTTAAGATGTGTACACTGTACACATCTGTACACTGTACAGTAACGTATGTTTTTCGAATATCGTAGCGCATTTGTTCAATTACTGACAAATACGAAATGTTTGACTTCGTTTATAAGAAAAAAACGTACCCTTTGTTTTTCGCACAAAATACCATCTTTCTAAATGGTTGGTGATTCATATCGGCAAGGAAAACTCGTGTATTTTGCTATAAAACGTCCTTTGAACGAACCCTGTATATTGCTCAATAAACCTGCATTTTGCTTAGGTTTTCGGCCAACGTTTTTGCTATTAGCCGGATCTTGTTACGTGTGGTCTCATTTTGTAGGTCTCGTAAATACCTAAAAATCTTATTTGAAGACCTTTTTCGTGCATGTCAAGACTTTTCTTTCTTTGTTGTCAAATTTCACACAAAAATGGTATGAGTCCATGTTTTTTAATACCCCCTTCAACAACTTGCATCAATAAAACCAAACTTTGCAATTATTTCGGGAAAATTTGCTAATAAGACTAAATACGAATATCACAAAAAATATAATATGAAATTAATATTACGTACTTTAATAAGACAAGAAATATTCGTTTATTCTGTTTGCTTTTGAATGTTGATTTTTAGATATTTGGATCTTGTTTTGCATTCTAACACCCACCCACCGAGAATTATAAGGCCCCCTGAACGCAAGTTCTAACGGGTGATTTTTTAAGAGGTATAGGATTTGATTTTCAAAAAAAAAAAAAAAATTTGAAAAAACGATTAAATCTTTATTTGAGTCGATATAACGGTCGATATAATTTAATGTTTAAAGATTATTTCATGTAAATGTTGGCCGCGGCTCCGCTTTAGATGGCCCATGCGCAAGGTCCAATTTTGGCACACTCTCTCCAACATATCGGCCGGTATCTCACGAATAAATGCTTCAATATTGGCTTCCAGTGCGTCAATCGTTGCTGGTTTATCCCTGTAGACATTAGCCTTAACATGGCCCCACAAGAAATAGGCCAACGGCGTTAAATCACACGATCTAGGCGGCCAATTGACGTGCCCCAAACGCGAGATAAACTGTTCACCGAACTCGCCTCTCAATAGGGGCATTGTTTCGTGTGCGGTGTGGCATGTGGCACCGTCTTGTTGAAACCCCATGTCAGCCAAGTCCAGCTCTTCCATTTTGGGCAAAAAAAAGTTTGTTATCATCGCACGGTAGCGCTCGCCATTCACAGTTATGTTCCGGCCATTGTCGTCTTTGAAGAAGTACGGCCCGATGATGCCACCGGCCCATAATCCACACCAAACAGTGATTTTTTCGGGATGCATTGGTAGCTCTTGCAATGCTTCTGGCTGGTCTTCACTCCAGATGTGGCAATTTTGCTTGTTAACGTACCCATTCAGCCAGAAATGAGCTTCGTCGCTGAACACAATTTTTCGATAAAGATGTGGATCTTCCTCCAACTTTGCCAGCGCCCATTCACCAAATTGGAAACGTAGTTGGAGGTCGTGTGGCTTCAATTCTTGCACCAGCTGTATCTTATAAGGTTTTACACCCAAATCCTGTCGCAAAATGTTCCACGTAGTGGAGTAACAGAGGCCCAATTGCTACTAACGGCGGCCAATCGACATTTCACGGTCATCACTAACACTGGCGGATACAGCCGCAATATTTTCTTCAGTCCTCACTCTACGTCTGCGTGTTGGTGGTTTAATGTCCAGTAATGTAAACTGGGTTCGAAATTTAGTCACAAGCTTCCGAATAGCTCCCACAGTAGGCCGACCAAATTGCCTATAAATTGGAAGCAGTGCTCGATGCACTCTCTTAACCGAGCATGAATTTTGATAGTAAATTTCAATAATTTGCAAGCGTTGTTCGTTCGTAAGTCGATTCATGGTTAAATTATAGACCAAACTGAACAAGTCTGACAATGACACAAGACACGATTCACGCGTCATCTGTCAAAAACAGTGTTGCCAAAAAGATACTAGCAAATAAATCACCCATTATATACCCTGTAGAGTAAATTCTATACTGCACAGTTTCATCTTAATTAGGAATCATCATTATGATACAGCTCATGTACTCACGTGTAATTTACCCCTGGTGATTGCCTCGAACAGTCTCCGTCCGCTTCCATGGAAGGGCGGCTGCCCAGACAATAGCACATGGAGTAAC